CCTATGCAAAATAGCAGAATTATCCCGTACAGTCGCAGCAATACATAAGGCAAAGTTCATTAGACGTAGTAGAGAATCAGAAGAGAAAAGACAACAGGCGCAGTCCTTATGAACGAGGACATGCAATGCAGTTAAAGTCTACAGAATGAGAGGAGAGCTGTCAAACCTGTGACAGCTGGGAAAGGACTGTTCGTCAAGCAATTTTACTTGAGGCTTTTTAAACATATGTCGGTTTTATATGGGTTAACAGACCGAATGCACGAAATGTAAACGTACCTTCATAAACTGTGTGACCTCTCTCACCAGATTTCCATCCGTCAGCATAATTGTGCCCACGAAGGAAAAACTCATGGTAGACGGAACAATTACAAGCACATCATCTGATCACTGTGACCATATGACTCTACTGCTTACTTATGTATGCTACGCGGAATATCCTAAGGAAAAGGATGTTAGTGTATGCGGTCACACACACTATAACGTGTTATCCGCGCGTTTTAAGGATGGTCTTTTGACCTTCTTAATTGAAAGCCCCAGAAATCGCCAAAGACACTTCCACAAGAATATTCACCACACTCTTAACGCATGCGTCTGAGCAGAAATCCTTCCATCGAAAGGGGACAGGCGAGTTCTTTCTGAGGAGCAGAAAATGCAAATACATGTTCTTGAGGGGATTACCATGAGGAGCTCACAAGGACACACCGAATTCCGAAACCTGGACCGTCTATGTGGCACAGCGTAAATTTTGTGGGCTGCATGCGTGAGGAGAAGGAGAACCATCAGCAAGAGGTAATGAAGAGATTCTGCACGAACCGCACTCTCTTATAAATGCATGTTAATCATCTTAGTAAGGTGCAACATGGAATTTCAACACTGATCACGGTTGACTGCCGCACGCGTTCATCAGCGGAAGCAGCCGATGGCTTACGGTGCTATGATTTGCAATCATTTCATAGATTAACTGGCTCAACTGTTATACCACTTTCTATTGTCTCAAAATCAGCCTTATGCAATAATAATTTTACTACAGAAAAAATCAAATAGAAGGTTGACCTTGCTTACCACAGCTCTCCTGGTGTGGACATCATTCGACCGATGGCAGTAAGGACAGCAGCCAGTGACCTGGCGGAACCTCTGCCTATATTCCATCAGCGCTGTCTGGAGGAGAATCATAGTCCAACAATATGGAAGCGAGATGTCACTAGGCCTATAATTAGTGAGGTAATTGCACTAATCAATGTAATTAACGCCTTATAACGCTACTCCCTGGGCTTCGCAAGTTTATGGAGTCTATAATGGTTGAAGTACACATGTCATGTCTGTAAAATCACTAGGTGACAGCACCAGAGCAACAAGGTTTCCGACAAAACCGGGCACGCATTACCAACCTGGTAAATGCACGCAGCAGCTGGACTGAAGCAGTTGACAAAGGAGCAGCAGTTGCTGTAATTTATCTGGAATTTTCGAAGTAATTTCATCCGTTAGATTAACGAATTCTTCCCCTTAAACTTCAGCTCTGTGTGGTTGGTGAACCACTGCTGCTTTGGATACGTATCTACCAGCATGAAAGGCAGTTGGAAATGATAGCACCAGAATGCATGTTCTGCTAAAAATGTAATAGAGTGTCGCCTCTCGGATGGTTCGATGTTTGAGCCCCGGCAAATTTTATTTCATGAACGATCTAGCGAGGGATGTAACTTCCGAGTTCCTATTCTTCGCTTAAGATATCAAGCTAAAGCCGACGATCAAATAACCGAACTAGAACAAAAAGCTACCTCATGACCACAACCGTTCAACTTGGAAAAATGTCAAGCTTATCAATTGCGTCATATTCATGACTATTTGTATAACCTTGGGTCTTATGTATTATAAACAAACTGTTAAGAACATGACCTGGTTGTGCTCATACAAACTGAGGTTAACTATACAAATCTGTCACAGGCAGCTGCCAAGTGAGGCAACAAGCAGGTTGGCTTGTTTAGGAGTGCACGTAAAAGTTTCTGCAGCCGGAAATAACCTGTTGCATGAATTTTGGCGTCGTGGAATGCGCTTTAGATTTTCACCATTTATGAGCCTAATCATTCAGTCTAGTAAAACAAATCATTCAAGCATTACACCATCTGCTTTACTTGAATTACTTTCTGCTCATTGAGTGACGACAAGTCGTGTATAAATACTGCGCCCGCCATACCGCACGAAATCAGCATAAACGTATATACATGTGTGTAAATGTGGACAGTGTGTTGAGTCTACAGATGATCGTCTAACACTTTTCTAGCACTTGATGGACTTACTTCGTTCACATAAACTATGTCACAGGACCTTTGGCTCTAATTGACCGTATTGCGCCATTGTTCCATGACTCTTAATTTGTGGGAAGTCAACATAAATTTTCTCGTCTAAGGTTTAAACTCGCGATCGAGTACGTCCCGTTGAAAATTACGGACCAATGTGTTTCCGACATTTGCAACCCAAGAGAGTATTTGAAATGATTGCATAACAGTGATTTTGTCTAACCTCGGTGAAACTCTATTTGTGTCGCAGAGAACTATATTTTATTGAAATGATTGTCATAACGAAAACCGACGGCGCGATGTCCCACCAGGAAAACATTAACCGTTGTGAACAAAATCAAAGTGGAAAACACCACATTCGACGTTCTGTATTCGGAAACCGTCAAATTCTTTGATATACGTCTCAAGCGGTGCACAAAGCGTCGTATTTTATGTTGCCTGTTTACATTTAGTCAGGCATATATAATCCAAGTCCCTCGATTATTCGTGTTTATTAGACCACTGCTTAAGCGTTCCGTTCAGGAACACATGTATAAAAATTGTAACTTATACTGGTAGTACAAATTCCCATTTAACCTTGGCGGTAGCTTTGTTCGATTATCGGAATCACACGCACATGCCAACTTGGTTTCTTTCACACAAGTCATTTACACAACAGTTGTAGTGGTGAAAAAAGAAACAGGCACTTCGTTTTGCTATGATTTCGTTAGACTTTTAATATGAGTGCTATAAATATCTAGCTTTTTGCTTTCATAGACAAGCTAAAACTGCTACATGCATTTAGGAAATGCGCCCATCCAATCAGCGTAGTTTCCACTTGCCTCATTAGACATGAATCGTGGGATCCTCAGACTATAAACAAGGCAGCATGCTTTGACCTCGACTGAAACCATTTCATAAGAATAAATACATTAGTCTAGAGGACAAAGTGAAACATTTTACGTATACGCACTCGGCGCTCAATTTAACCAACGCGATTGAATAGGACTATATTTCATTTCTGGGTGCACACTTGAGAATGTAAGTTGATGCTTCCCTTTTAATTTTGATCAGCAAAATAAACATTACACTGGCCAGAATACAAAATTTACATTCATATGCCGCTTACATACAAGCGCAATCAAGTGCGGTGCCTCAAAACGAGGGCAAGATTTGTCTGCACAGAAGTCGCCTTTAAGGCTAAAAACAAATCCGTATGAAACATTGCGCAAAAGTTGCTATCCTGAGGGATACTTCAGGCAGCATACAGCCCAACTTATCAGCAACCGTCGAGCTAGCGGTAGAAAAGTATCCACTTAATAAACCTTAGTTTGGATGGTGGTACAACTGCTGGGATTATAACAAGAAAACGAACACAAATGAAAGGGTGCACGTTTCCAGCGGCAAAAATGCGACATAAGCAGCAACGAAGCAGCACGAAGCAGCAAATTGCCATAAAAGAAAAGGACAAAATGCTGCAACCGACCACCTCTTACAAAATCCTTGGATTTAACTGCACCTATGGGTGACACATAATGGTCGAGCTCCCAGCCAATTGTCACCTCTCACCAACGAAAGCAGCTTAAGTGGTGGGCGAAATTGGCCACTGAATTTCGGCTATGCGAAATTTTATCCCACTTATTGAAATGCGGTCGCAGCCATAACTTGCTAAAATTGTTTTCTATGGTTTATATGGTACCCATGAACAAATCGCGTGACGTGCTTCTAATAACCCTGGTCACAACAGAAGATTTCTGCAAGTATCTCATCGTACCGTTGAACGAGTTGTGGTCCGGATCAACGTAAATAGAAGGGAAATAGCAAGTATTAGTAAGTATTAGTGCGATGGAGGCCGAAAACTTCCTAGGGAATTATGTACATGTGTGGAATCGAGAATAATATAGTGTGGGGAGGGTCTCGCAACCAAATTTCTGGACTCAGCATAAGGAACAGCAGTATGGGTCTGGCTAACAGGGAAAAATAAGTCCACATTACTGCACAGTGAAAAAGGGAAATATTTAAGCAACTACCTTATTATTGTATTGCAGATGTTGTTTACAATTAGGAGGCGCAATACGGATTTCGGATTACTTAAGATGTGTGGGTTGTGGGCTGTGAACAAGAATGCCGAACCTTTAGTAGTTTGGCTAACTGCGCTAGGAGTTTGATTATGCAGGGAATTGGTCCAACAGAACGCCAGTGATATGTTTACGAGGTTACAGTAGTCCTGAGTGGCAAACATATCGATGTTGACAATGTGTCGGTTGATTCACCAGCAAGATATGGTCAAGTGAAAACCGAAGCTAAGTGTTGGGGAGCAAGGTGGGTTGAAGATGTAAAGAAAGGATCCGGGTGCTTTACCTACCAAAGCGTCAGTGCTTTCACAAACGAATGGTAGGTGTGCCAGCGGGTGAAACGGAAGTGAAGTTACGATTGGAGAGATAGTTAACCGGATTTGGGAGTCCAGCTAACCAAGTTGCCAGTGATTCAACTGACACATGGTTGCAGTGGAGCCAAGTAAAATCAAGGGGAAGTATAGTGAGCCAAGATGGGATGAAGAGGATAACAGAAGCCTGGACCTCCAACCCATCGATGTATCAGTGGAGCCACTAATCAGCGGTGAGCTTTCGGGCAGGCAGATCCGGAGTGGGCAATAAAAGAGAAGGGTAAGCAGGGAATCAACGGGTGTTTGTTGATCTGACTGATACAGTCATTTGCAACTTTCAGTTATATGTTTTTCTGGACCTTGTTCAGATCCCCCTCCCCCCCCCCCCCCCCCCCCCCCCACCCCCCCCCCTTTTTTCCCCCCCCCCCCCCCCCCCCCCCCCCCCCCCCCCCCCCCCCCCCCCCCCCCCCCTCCTCATTTTTTTTCCTCCCCCTTTGTTGGATAGTTGTAGGGCTCAGCGCAGGAGGCATAATCATATCGCTGAACTGGTAAATATATGCGTCAGCTTTCGTACGCAGATCGCAGTTTAGTATTCAGATTGTGGCGTAGTACCGAATACCGGTCGGTCCATTGGTTCCCAAACACGGGAGTTTACACCGATTCTAGAAAACATCGTTTGCCAATATGTGTTTGTCTTTGAAGACTCTTTTGTTACCTTCTACACATGGACGCTTTTCCAACGAGTCTGCTGTGTATTGTTTGGCCATTTGCGTGCTTCATGAGTGTGATTAGTCATCCAATGCTCACGGGCGCCTGGGGACTATTCTTGTGCAGGATATTTGAAAACAAGGGCTAAGTCTGCCTTGACAGGCGTCTCGAAGCACCATTTATAGGTGGGTCAAGCCTGTAAATAAGTCGCATCCGCTCAGGAATAAGGGGAACTCCGAGCTCAAGCTACGTACCAATACAGGGCGCGCGTTTAGTAAAAAGCTTTTGATAGTACCTTGGCTAGCGGCGATACGATCATGCTGTCGCATGGGAAGTTGCTGCTATCCACCATGACGCGTAAGATTCCAACGTGAAAGGGCAGGGTGATGCTTGATGCATTACATTGACAAGAACTCAAATTCCATCATTGTAAAAGTACAAGTTTGTGATTAGTAAGTGCATAGTTTAGCGGTTGTTTAGCTCTGGCGTGTGTGCTTAGATCATGTGAACTGTTATTCTGAGCTGAAGTTGAAGCGGAAAATGAAGTAGCGGAGCCCTAGGGTCCACAGCGATGAGTCCTGACCTATATTATAAGTGGGGGGGACGAGCCCTAGGGGCAGGAGCATGGGGAGATTGACATTGTGCGACAGAGTCTGCTATAACATCGCCGTCAAATTTGTCAGTGCGGAAATCAGACTATATGCACCGTGTGGTTGCAACCAAGCCTCCAATGCGGCTTGGAGGGACTGTTGGCAGTTGCCATGAGTGTGATTGCTGAGGTTTGCGTAGGATGGAAGGAGTACACTATGTGGAGGTCATCGGCAGAGAAAGATAAGGTGTGCCGTATTTAACTACGCTGACGGAGCGGTCGTTAACGGAAAGTCGAACGAGAGCATATGGACCAAGAAACTTGGGCCTTGGACCACCCCACGTGGTAACAGCCTTGGGTGAGATGTGATGTGGAGTGGGAATGTTGTACCTTAGTCCTTCGGGAGCGACGATCTGAGAGGATATGAGCTGAAACCATGCCAGGAATTGTCATCTGTTATTACCGTGTAGGCTTTGGAGCCTTTGACGAGTAGGCCGACTATGCAGGGTACGTGATCGAAAGCCTTTTTGCTTGTCGGAGGTAGATGACAGACAGTTTGCCGATAAGCCTGCATCGGGTGAAGACTGACAAGGTGATTTAAAAATGCCTACGTGACAAGTGATGCATGGTCTGGAGTTCAGGAATCCATGCTGTGGACAGTGGTAACTAACTTGCGAGTTAATAGGGAATTCAAGCTGTTTTCGACGTATACTATGTCGCTCCTAATCGCATTTTAGGGACCAATACTGATGTGTGTGAGCTAAGCAGTCGCGTAGCATGTGTACGTCCACCCCCCCCCCCCCGTTGAACGGATTTAAGGAGTCTCCACGCGCCGCAGGGCCATCACAATGGCGCTCCTTCCACGTGAGCCCGGTAAGTGTATACCACGTATTTATAGATAAGTGTAACGTGATACATATTCGCGTAGAGACACCAGAAGGGGAGGTCATCTCCCTCCGACTTTTATGACAGCATGATGGGAGCTTGTCCGGACTAGAGTGGAAATATGGCGGTTGTTAGTGGAACTTTGATGAGCTTTGATGGTATATCGTCACAGCTTGGAATATGATGTTGCTGAGGTGTGTCATTCGTTGTGATGTTGCAGATTCCAGGGTCTGCCGGATCACTACATTTCATACTAAACGAGGCAGGCACAGTCGTGTGTTGTACCTTTGCGCATGTGTGTATTATGTCGGGTCACTTCACTAAGCATGTATCTGCCGACATAAGCGATGAGAAGTCATCTTCGGGTTCTGTTTCTCGGTCTTGCGCTTAAGCAATCTGCAAAGTTCCGTTTTGTCTTATTTTGGCTACCCCCGAGTGCCTTGTTTTT